AATTTCTAAGGAGAACGTGATTGACTTATCACTTCTTGATTGAAAATCAAATAAAAACAAAGGAAACAAAAAGACAGAGAAAGCAGACCAGGAGAGACCTTCTATTTAAAAGAAGGCATATATCAAGACTATGTAGAATCTAGCATATTTAGTGGTGAGATTGTAGAAGCAATTCCAGTGAATTGAGGGAGAGAGGGATACATGGTCTTACAACTGCCAGTGAGCCTTCAGCTGAGACCCCTGTCAGTACAGTAAGAAAAGAGAAAGAGGTAATCAGGGGCATTTTACAAAAGAAGAACCATGATTCTTATTGTTTATTTGCAGAAAATTTGGTTATCTGGAAAGACAACAGATATATTTGTTTAATAAGAGTTTATTTAGCAAGATGGCTGGGAATAAGACTAATGTCAAAGAATGAATTGCTTTTCAGTACATTAACATAGCCAGTCAAAAAGTGCAACAGTAATAAAATGACAAAATCCCTAAGAATAAGCCTATACTAGTTTTCTATTTCAGTGTAACAAATTACCAAATACATGGTGGCTTGAGCACACTCACTAGTTACTAAAACCCAGTTCTGTAGGTCAAGTCCAGGAAGACATAGTTGTGTTCTCTGCTGAGGGAAGGATCATCTAAAGTATGTGTCTGCTGGCTTCTTATCTGAAGACTCTGGGGAAGGATCTACTCCCAGCTTTTAAGTTATTTGCAGAAGCCCATTCTTGTGACTGTGGGGTAGTTCTTTCCTTACTGACTTAGCTACAGGCTGCCTCAGCTCACTAATGGTGCTTGCGTAGTGTCTACTTACTTTTCTTGTTGCTGTGACAAACATACCTGACAAAAGCAACTTGAGGGACTGTTATTTTGGCTCTGTTGGCTCATGGTTTAAGAAGGGATACCGGCTGTCTTGTCAGGGAAGGCATGTGTGAGGAGCTGACCACATCACATCTTCAATCAGGAAGCAGAGAGAGGTAGGGAGTACTGGTGCTCAGGTCACGTTCTCCTTTCAGGCAGTTTGGGACTCAAGCCCTGAACGTTAAACCTCAGTTAAACCTTTCTGGCTACACCTTCACAGATGTGCCCATGGTGATTTTAAGTTCAGTCAACACAGAGCTTTTCAGAGAGCCTCCTCCATCTTTCAAGTAACAAGAACACTTGGAGTCCTTCTCAAGCTTTTAGTACCTCAATGGTTCTGCTTTTCTCTTCCGCCAGAGAACGTGCTTGGCATGTTGGAGCCAGCTGGTTAGATTCGGCTCATGCATCATCTCTCTGTCTCAAGGTCACTGTGTCATGTAATGCATCAGTTGCTGCAGTGATTCATAAGTTCCAGAAATGATAGAAAACAGCTTTGGTTGGCAAGAGGGTTTTGTAAATTTGCCTGCCAAAAAGCTTATGTAGAATTTAAAATTTTTTTATTATTTATTTTTATTTTATGTGTATGAGTGTGTATGCCTGCATGTATGGAAGTGCACCCATGTCATGTGGTGCCTGTGGAGGACAGAAGATGGCATTGGATCCCCTGGAATTGGAGTTATGGACAGTTGTTAGCTGCCATGTGTGTGCTGAGAACTGAGTCCCCACCCCAACAGCTGAGCCATCTCTCCAGCCCTTAAGTAGAATTTTAAAAGGCATACATGGATGAATAAGATTATTTGGGATGTTCTATATGATATACACACAAAAAATTAACAAATAAAAAAAGTTATATTTGAGGAGGGAGGAAGCATAAAAATTTACTTCATGTTAATTAGTAGAGGTGATAAACATTACCATTGAAATCTACCTGATGACTTTATAGCCATACTCAGGTACCAAGGATTCAAGTGTTACCGGCTGTGACTAGTAATAATCAGATACACAGAGATTAGAGATACATGTGCAAACATTTAAGTGTTAGTAGCATTAAAAATGAGCCTTTTAGCCAGGCTTGGTGGTACATGCCTTTAATCCCAGCACTGGGGAGGCAGAGGCAAGCGGATCTCTGTGGGTTCAAGGCCAACCTGGTCTACATAGCGAGTTCCAGGACAGCTGGGGCTACAGGGAACTCCTGTCTCAAAAAGAACCCCCCCCCCAAATAAAAGAGTCTTTCTGTAGGAAACAGTATATTTTTAAATGAATTGGAGATCTTTTTTAAATGTTAAAAACTCATTCAATTTTGTGTCTTATAGGATTTATACTGAGTTCAAGCTCTGGAATGTGTTACTGAATATGTTAAAGCTGTAATGAAATGCATCTAATCATGTGGTTATTAAATAATTTTTTTTAATTAAAAAAATACATGGAAAAAAGTATAACATTTTCTTGAAGCATGCAAAAGAAAGCTATATCAATTTTATTTAGTAAATATTGTATCATCTCCCTCTCCTAGTCTTCCACTGTCAATTCAATTTAATTTCAAATTTTCTTTTTCTTCTTCTTCTTCTCTTTTTTTTTGGTCTTTGAGACAGGGTCTCCCTGTAGCCCCAGCTGGCCTGGAACTCACTATGTAGATTAGGCTGGCCTTGAACTCAGGAAGATCTGCCTGCCTCTGCTTCCCGAGTGCTGGGATTAAAGGTGTGTGACACCATGCCCAGCTTAATTTCAAATTTCAACAGAATTTTTTTATTAAGTTGGCATGGTGATTCTAAACTTCCTTTATTAGTTACTTTTCTGTTACTGTGATAGAAACACTGACCAAAGAACTTTATAGAAGGAAGAGTTTATTTGAACTTATGGTTCCAAAGGGGCAAGAGTCCATCATGGCAGGGAGGCATGGCGGCAGAAGTGGCTGGAGGAGGAGTGGAAACTATGTTCTTACATCTTCAAACGGGCACGGGAAGCAAGAGAGCAACTCCAGATCGGGCAAGGCTTAAGAACCTTCTATGCCCGCCTCCAGTGATGCGCTTCCTCCAGGATAGCCACACCTTCTAAGACCTCCCAAAACAGCACCACCAACTGGGGACAAAATGTCCAAATACTTGGAACCTATGGTAGACATTGAAACCACCACACTTCTCATAGAGAAAAATGTCTAAGAACCGTCAAATTTTGAAAAAGAACCTTAGATGGCAAACTTTAAACTATATTCATTAAAATATTAGGAATATTGTTCCTTGAATAATCCGTGGGAGAGAAGTGGGACTTTAGTAGATGATGAAGGTGTTTTAAATCAAAACAGAAATGATGGCCTTTGGCCAAACAGTGGTGCAATTTTCTGCCGATTTGGAAACAAAGTTAGGCCTTACAAGCACAAAAATAATTTCCAGATGGAGTGAAGAAGTAAATACATTAAATAAAATTGTGTAAGTATTAAAAGCACTAGAAGAATTTGCTCATAAACTTTTAGTTGGATAATACCTCGCCCAAATGCTAGGAAATGCAATAGGCTAGTAACTGCATGAAAGAGTGCTTACTTTTATTAGAGTCAAGAAATATAAATAAAAAGAGGTTTCCTGTACCACACCCTATCTCATCCAACTTTGGCAAGTCTGGGGGACATGCATTTTCACTAATGAATTCTAATGCTTTTCTTGGCAGTGCCCACTCTAAATTTTAAGTATGTATATTCTTCCAATGAATGGTTTCATTTCCAGATTTTTATTGCAGAGAAATACACGGGGACATGAGCATTAAGGCATTTACTAGATGTGGCATTGTTATTACAGCAGAACATGTCCAACAACCTAAAAGCCCATGATGGAAGGGCTTTGGGTTTTAAGTAAGCTGTTTAGTGGATTTTGAAAAGGAGAACAATTAATTCGCACCAGTGTAATTTAGAGGAAAATGAAATGCCTGTGGCATTTATGACAAGGACTATCTTTTCCAGGTGTATAATTTTATTACTTTATAGCACTGTCTACTTTCTCAAAGCAGAGTAGTTGGTGCAGCTCACCTGATATGAAAAAACACCTAGTGGTACTTGTTCAAGGGAAGTTGCAATTGAACAAAATCCCTCTTGCTGCAGTGAGTTTCTTTTGCTACCCAAATATTCCTGCCAATGTTGGAACAAAAGAAAGAGAAGATTTGATTGATTCTGTATCTGTGCTATTAAAACAGATCATTTTCAGTATCAATGTGGCACTCTACTTGATGACTAAATGTTTCTTGTCATCAAGTAGAGTGAATAATTGTAGAATATGTAAGACAATAGGGGCTAGAAACTAGGGCCTTGCATGTGGAAGAATCTTAATTTAAATACTGTTTGTAGTGGGGAGGGGGAGAGAAGACAGTTTAGCATTTTTATGTAGTGTCAGCATTTAAAATGTAACCAAAAAACTGAGCATGGTAGTGCATGCCTTTAATCCCAACACTCAGGAGACAGAGACAGGTGGCTCTCTATGAGATCAAGGCTAACTTGGTCTATAGATGGAATTTCAGGCCAGCTCTGGCTACAGGGAGATGCTGTCTCAATCCCCATCCCCCAATAAAGTAACCAAAAGATATGTTTTCTTTCTGACTCTGCTTGTGTGTAAGAGATCAAATCAAGTATCTTGATGAGGCCTTTGCAGCACATTTTTAGCATCTTTAATCTATGGATTTATGATTTCAGAGTAGAAAAAAATAAAAGCTTTGGCTACTGTTATTTTAATTTTCTATGTCATTTTTACTAGGTGCTGTGAGAGTCATGGTGTACATGGGAATCACTTTTTAAAATCAAAGAATTGTGGGACTTTTTAACTACAGTAATGTTTGATGAATTTATTAGATGTTCTGCAGATAAAGGGTTACCTTTATTTAAAAGATAATTTCATCCTGGAGATAAATTGTAATCCCATAAAGAAAGGAACTTATATTAATTTAACTTTCTTTGCAACTTAAGACTATTTTTCACAGCAATTTTTTTAATACACTGTACTTTTATCTCATATCTGTCTTTGTAATGAAGCAAAACTTAAAGAGGGTGCAGTGATCTAATACAAATGCTCCCCTGTGAGGGCAGCTAATAAAAGATGAGAACTTGATTATGTTCCACAGAGAAAGACAAAACACTTGTTTAAAAAGCCATCTGTGGATTATTTTTACAGAAGTCAACAAAAGGTTCCATTGTCCTTGACCATGTATTCCGTCACGTAAACCTCGTGGAGATAGATTACTTTGGGCTGCGTTACTGTGACAGAAACCATCAGACAGTGAGTACAATGACTGCATATTACATTTTTCTGGTTATAAATTTCACCCTATCTGGATGTGATTCTAGGTGGTTATGTTCTTTATAACTGAAAATGACTTTGGAAACCTCAATTCTGTTTTCCCATGATAATTTCTTTGCACATTTTTCTTCTCACTGAAGCCTGTACAGTTGTTGGGCTCACGGCTTCTTTGCAGAGGGTCGATTTTGCACAAGGCTCATGTGGCTTCCAGTTTTGCCACCATCTTGTAGTGTGTACTTTCCATTTGTGCTGTTGGAAAGTGCCAGTGTCTTGAAGTGACAGACATTATTGTCTTTTAAGAAAGGAAATGGTCAGGTGTTGAGGCCTAAGCCTTTAATCCGAGCACTGGGGAGGCAGAGGCAGGTAGATCTCTGTGAGACTGAGGCCAGCCTTGTCTACATAGAAAGTTCCAGGTGCCAGCTGGGGCTACAAGGAGTATAGGGAGACTGTCTAAAAAAAAAAAAAAAAAGAAGAAAGAAAAAAGAAATAAATGGGCAAAGAGAAGTATATGTGCATAATATATTTTACTACATATACTAAAAATGCTTACCTATGTTTAAAGAATGGCTTGGGCTGTTATAAAAGAAAACAGTTTTCATTCCTCAGCCTGATGGAGTGTGAATAGTAAAAGCAGTCTGCCTTTTCTTTCTGATATCAGTTCATAAAAGGTGAGTTTAGGAGATAGTCCTGTCTGCTTGGTGGTGGGGGGTTATTGTGAAATTTTCCACAGTGGAATGACTTTGGAGGAAACAAGTTTTGAAGGATGAAAGAATATTTGTTTGTTTAGTCTAAGAAAGATTTTTAACCTCAGGTGGATACAGCCTAATGGAAATGCTCCTTTACTTAACTTAAAAATACTCTGAATGGCCCTTTATTTTTCATTCTGTACAACTGCTGTTGAAATAAAGATTTCTTCCTCTTCCTTCAGCAGTTCTGCCGGCCTCCCCTGGGTCATTTGGGGATGCATTCAGTGAGGAATGTAATATGGCCCTAGAAATATCTTAGAGTGAGAAGAGGCAGGCAAATGTGATGCTGCTGATGGTGACGTGATTTTTCTTGAACTAGTTTCACAGCCTATTCTGTTTCACAGAAGGATTTCACAAGATAGGAGGAAACATTGGGCTTGTTAGGTAGATACGCATAGAAAGAATAGCTTTCTGTAAAGGCAAATGGCTATTAATGCACATTTCCAAAAGAGGGGACAGATGCATTCAGCAGTTCACTGAATTCTGTCCCATATAGACCACAAGTCACTCTAGCACAACTATAAATCTATACTGGAAGGTTAAATTGAAGATTATAGATGGTACCCGAGATTGCATTCATATTTAATATTTTTCCTAGCAGAGAAAAACACAGTTTCATGATGGATACCTGTCCTAGTTGTCTCTTCATTGCTGTGACAAAACGCTCTGACTACTACCAACTTGGGGAGGAAAGGGTTTATTTTATCTTCCATCTCCGGGGTCACAGCTCATCAGGGAGCTCAAGGTAGGAACTCAGAGCAGAAACCTGGAGGCAGGAGCTGGAGCACAGGCCATGGAGGAACACTAACTGGCTTGCTCCCCTGGCCCCTGCTCAGCCTGCTTTCTTATGCAACACAGGCCCACCTGCCCAGGGGTGGCACCACCCAGCATGGGCTGGGCCCTCCCACATCACTCATCAATCAAGAAGATGCCCCATGGACATGGCCACAGGCCAGTCCAATGAAGGAAATTCCCCAACTGAGGCTCCCTCCACCCAGGTGTGTCAAGTTGACACTAAAGCTATCCAGCACAATACCAGACCTCACCTGGAAGGACTGGCTATCTTACTAAAATTATATAGAACTTATCTGCTTAGAAGATGATATAATTGCAAGTGTCCTTATGTGTAAAAGAGAAAGAGGAAAGCTAGAAAGTCAAAGAGAAGATGAAATAATAGAAGCAGAGGTTGGAGGGGTGCAGTTACCAGGAATCCTTGAGCTGAGGCATGCTGGTAGCCCCGGAAGCTAGCGAAGAGGCAAGGAAATGACTTTGCCCCTAAAAAGCCCTCAGGATAAATGCAACCCTGCCTGCACTTTGATTTTATCCTAATGAGATTCATTTTGGACTTCTGGCCTTCAGAATTATAAGACAGTAAATTTCTGTTGTTTTATGCCATTGAGTGCCGCAGGTTCAAACCCGCAACCCTGGTGAGGTGAGGATTGGGGATGAGTAAGCACGCCGTTCACCAGCCCACGCCTCCCTCTTTACCCCGAGACACTCAGATGCAATGGGGAGTCTTAGTCAGGCAGAGACTCATTTATTGCAAGCGTTTCAAAGCTTATAAAGGCACCTGGAACTCCCCCCGACCCCTGCCGAGGGTGTATCTTAAGGATGGTCATGTGCTGATCATGCACTCCTCAGCAGTGCGGAAGTATTCTTCAGACTTTCAAAGCAAGCCAGGCCCCACTCCAGT